GCGCATGTGCATTGTAACGCACCCACCTGATCAACCAATAGATCGTAAGATCAGGTGTAACGTGAAATCGAAAAAAATAGCGATGTTTTGAAAAATCGCTTGTAACGCTTATGAAACCACCTTTTGCGTTCTAACAAAAAAAATTCCTTGCAAAATTTTGGGTATAATTTACCTACAATCTAACCTAACCCTACATTAGTGCAAACTCTTACCCTAAATTAATGCGTTGTTGGTTTGTTTTGATTTCACATCTTATGGGTGCGTCACAACGCACCCGCGCCAAATGATAAAATTCAAAAAAATATTATATTTAATAATGAACTTTTTAATATACTTAGATATTGAGAATTTAGAAAATAATTTGCAAAAAGGACCTTATGGAAGATGTGTTTACGAAAGTGATAATGATGTTGTAGATAACCAAGTATGATATAGCGAAGAAATCAATTTCTTAATTAATATAGCGTGTAATTTATTTTATAAATTAATATTATATTTATAATAATTTAAGGTTGTTAACCTAGAATTCGCTAATGGTTCGACTGCAAATATCACTATGATAGCGTATACTGAAGCTATTACTGAAAGAAAGGTATATCTTATATTATTAACTATATGTTTATATTTAAATAATACTATAATAATTTTAATTTTTTTTAAAATCTAATTTGTAAATATTATAAGACCAAGTAAGAGATTTATATATCGTCTTTTTTTTAAAAAAACCCCAATATCGGTATACATATATAATTATATTCATATTTTTTTTAAAACTAATATAATATTTAATTTATATTATTATATTTAAGAATATTTGGCACATTGGGCCAAATAGAATGTGATGGCTTTAATACTATAACATATTTTAATTTTTTAACAAGGCAGAAGGAAATATTAGTGCCAACAGATATTCTTGGTGTTAAAGATCTAAGTGGTCATGGTGAATATAATTGGCTTAATTAAAATTTTTTCAAAAATTGACATAATAGAATTTCATTAATAAAATTTATAATATTTACAGCTGGTGGTGACATGGCGCTAATGCGAGCATTTGTTTACTCTATTAATGGAGCATCATTAGGTATTACAAACAATTCGAATAATTTGTATATAAAAACTGGTATTCAACAAGCTTTAGGTAAGTTATATATATAGAATTCACAAACTTTTTGACTATAAATAATGTTAAGCCTAATGTCTGAAATATAAGCTCAATAGTTTAATTCAAAATTTGATAATTTAAAATTCTAATAGTTGACATGCTAAATAGTTTGTTTAAATACACCAATTTTTTGTAAAAAAACTTTGGTCATTATTAAACTATTAGAATTTTATAAGACTAGAAATCATAGTAATTCTAGTTTGTAAAGATTATATAATTAGGCTTTTACTTATTTTTTATTCATAGTAGTAGTATATTATATTTGTATAATTAATAGATTTGTTTTATCAAAATGAATTTAGATTCACACTTATGTGTGTTTGCGGCAGAGCATTCCAGAAAAACTGGCGAAACAGTTAGAATTCAGGATTATAAAACGATGAAAGGAATTGAATATTAATATAAGATTTGTTATATATATTATCGAATTATAGCTGTACTTGATTGCTATGGATATTATTATTGTATATGAAGCCTTTTAATATAGCTGATATCATTTATCATTTTATAATAGTATTTCAGATTTTTGTTCATATTTCAGACTATTATTATAAATAAATGTTTGAACAATATCAAACTAATTAAATTAGCATTAGTGAAGTAAGAACTTGAATTTCTTGGCATAGGTAATGTTTTGAACATATATGAAAGGTGAATAGATTTTAAGTAGTATTCGGATTTATCGTGCTTGGAGATTCGTGCAAATTAGATATCTCGGAAACTGTAACAATGTTCGGAAATGCTACAATTGTAGTCGGTCTTGTCATCTTAATAACGACTGCAATTCTCCTCGTGGATCTAAAGTTTGTTGTAAATGCCAATAGGTATTAATTGAGATACGTTTAATTATTATTCTTGCTTGTATGACCTGTAAATTATTAAGCAGTAATTCCTTCGGAAATATTCATACCGACTAAATTAATATTATGAAATTGCTGTTCTTATGCTAATGAGCTAATAAGAGATACAATCACTCAGTGGGTCATATGCAATAAGATAGAGACAACAATAGATGAATGAATATGCGCGCAAGACTAATACGATGTATAACAATTCAATAACAGACAGTACGAATAAGAAATACGTTGCAAACAAGATTTTACCCATAATTCTTTATTTACAAAGGAGGGATACGTCAGATCTAATCTCTACTATTGATAAGCAAAGCGAACATGAGGTGTTTATATACATTAAGGATGTTCCGAGTCAAGGCAGAATGCGTGGAATGAATTTCCTTTAATTTCGGGAGGGGTCTAGCTAAGACACAATATCATTGAAGTCAATGATGAAGCTTACATAGTCTCAATGGTCAATGATATGATCAAGGTCTCGACTAACTAAACAATCCTTCAACGACATCCCTACCAATTAACAGATACTATAAATGGAAGCAACGGGAATCAGTCTATCGTATGCTAAAATAATAATAGCATGAATATATTAAAAGAAAAGATATCTATATTAATAAGAAAATGATACATATAAGGAAATAATAACAAATAGGGCTGTTAAAAAGCTTGCCGAACCCGGTCCTTGAGTCAACTTCGCACGGACATTTTAGGACGACTCGTTTGTTCCAATTTGTGATTCACATGATTGGTTAAATGCATGTCGTTTGTGATCAGGAGGCATTCATATTATTGACTAATTTATATCGAGATTTATCGATTATTACATGTACGGACCCGACTCAAAGATCGATTTTTAATTAAAGTCCCTATTTATGGAGTCTGAACCGAAAGGATTGGACTTTTAACAGCTCTAATAACAAAGGATTAAAACTATGTAAATATTGGCGCAGAAAGTTACAGAATACGATATCGCTACAGTTTTTGCTAAGCGACAATAAGTAAGCTTATAAGTATGATCATTATACTTTTAAGTATAATCATCTTTATACTTATAAATATGGTCTTTTTATATTTGTAAGTTTGATATGCCTGATAATTAAATATACGTATAAGAATATGACATTAACACCCCTTAAATGTGTACTAGGTTTGTGGCGCAGTTGATAAATTGATGTATACAAATAGGTGCGGACACAAACAAAATCTGGTCTATTACTCACCCATAATATCCTCCGCTACATTACGGATAATTACTCACCATTTACGATAGTCCCAAAATGCACTATACGCATGCATGTGCACACGTACATACATACTTTAATGACACGGACAAACTTTATCTGCGATGGGAATTTCTAATTATTAATTGTGAAATTGTTAATTTAATAAATCATTTTTAAAACAATTAATAATTGAATTATCCAATATGTATAGAAAGTATCGATAGAATGCGTAATCAGCAAATTAAAATATATTTTCCAATATTTTTTTATGTATTCTAGTATAAGCATTTTTCACCCGATAATTGTTTCACAAGAGTTACGTACCTGCAAAAATACGTACGTACGTACCAGAGTGTCCAGCTAGTAATAGTCGAAATAGCTAGCAAAAATAGCTAGCAAAAATAGCAAAAATAACGAATTAGCAA